TCTCTCTCTCTCTCTCTCTCTCTCTCTCTCTCTCTCTCTCTCTCTCTCTCTCTCTCAAGTTTTGCTGTGTGTGTATAGGTGCCAGCATAGGGTGTCTGGTCCCCTGGGGCTGTAGTTGCAGGCCATTGTGAACTACCTGACAGGGGTGGGGCCAGGGAGGTAGAGAGTAGGGTATTCTGGGAACCAAAATGTGTTGTCTGGAAGAACAATAAGAACAGTTAGCCCCTGAGCCCTGTCTCTAACCAAGAGAGTTTGTTTTAGCTCTTTCTCGCACATGCGGTGTTCATCTTTCAAGGCTCACTCAATGAATACCTTTTCTCTTGAAACCATTATCTTGATTACTGATCGAGGCTCTCTTAGAACTGTGAATGTTTGCAGTTATTACCACTGACTTGGTAATCATACTCTAGGTTGTGGTTTCATGTGTGACTGTTCCTGAGAGATGTAAAATTAGCACCTGCCTCCAAACTGGAATAGTACCAGCAGCCCAAGGACCGAGTCACTCACACTAGCTCATCTCTATAGGGATCGCTTGAGTAGCTATGAACGGATAAAGCCAGCCCTCTATCCCCTCCTCCTTACCCAGCATCTGTTGTAAAGTCTACTCTCAGGCAATCACAGTGCACAGCACTACAGCTGACTACAGGCCCGGCCCCCAAAAAGCATAGCCAAGTGTACCGAGGGAGGGAAGTTCCTTGTATGTGTACTTTGCCATTGCCCTTCCCAGTCTGCTGCCTTGGAAGACACTTCAGCCATGGGGAGGGTGGCTTATTGTACTACAGTCTGCACGCAGAACAGTTAAATGGTGGCTGGTGAAAGATGGAGGTCCTCTAGCTGGGACTCCAAGGTCTGGGCTCATACATATCTTTGTCTTCTGCTAGTCTTTTTTTTTTTTTTTTTTAAATTGTTGTTTTGAAGCAAGATCTCTCTATATGACTATCCTGGAATTTGGAATAGACCAGGCTGGCTTCAAATTCACAAAAAAAAAATCTCCTGCTGGGATTAAAGGCATAGGCCCACGTGTCAGCTCTTCTACTGATCTTAGGTTTTCATCTGCTCAGTGCCTTGCTCAGTTACATTTTTCTTTGAGAGTGGGGCTGTGTCTAAAAGAAGGGCCCTTGGAACTAGCCAACTATTTGATAGGGGCTAACTTCTTCAAATGTGTTGCAATATCTTATATTCAAAGAGTCTTAAAACTGATTAAGACAAGATCAAAGAAAGACAATTTATCATTCTTAGTTTCCACCTCTTTAAAACATAGTAGTGATATGAAATGCAGTAGCCAAGGACTGAGTGAACTTGTTCTCCAGCTTTTAATTTTTAAGTTAATCTTTTTGTGATATTATGGTTCAAAGCCAGGGTGTCAGCCATGTATGTTAGGCAAGTGTTGTACCTCTGAGCTCCAGTCCCCACTTGATTCAGATTTTTAATTGACACATAAGTATTAGGCACACTTATGATGTGCAGTGATGTTTTCCTGTGCACTGATCAGTCAGGGCAGATAGCTTCTCCATGAATCAATCGCTCGTCTGTGTTGGGAACATTCAGCATCTTTATTCCTGGCCCTTGTTCTTTCCCAGGAAGCTGGACGGTAGGAGAAGAGAAGATGTCACTAAGAAACCGGCTGTTAAGATCTGGTGAGAATCCTGAGCAAGATGAAGCCCAGAAAAATCTCTTGGACACACACAGAAATGGTAAGAGCTTTAATGTTTCTGAGGTAAATTAATGAGCTTCAGAGCAAGTTCACTGTTTTAGGGCAGGGCTCGTAATTTGTTATTGCAAATTCATTTTGGTGGTTTTGTATATCTGGTAGTGAATAAGATCATATTAGTTAATTTAGTGATGAGCTGGAGAGATGGCTCCGTGGTTAAGAGCAGTTGTTCGTGGTTAGGTCCCATGTTCGAATCCCAGCACCCATTGACATATTGGTTAATAACTATAAATCCAGTTCCAGGGATTCTGCTGCCCTCATCTGGCCTCTGAGAGCACTGCATGCATATGGCACACAGACACATGCAGAGAAAACTTCTGTGTACATAAAATAAGAGTAAATAAATAAAAATGAATTCAACAAACATTGCTATTGTGTTTTAGATGTTACCCATTTATTCAGCCAGCCCAGCCTACCAGTGATTATTGAACTGTCCTGCTGGATCCTTGATTACAGAAGTGATCGTTACATATGTGTTTGCATTTATGGAGCCTCAAGTTACATGAGTGGCATGGCCCTTAAAATCATGCAGTTTGGGATCTAGTTTACTGATGCCCTGGGTTTGTCTCCAGTATAACCAAACCAAACAGGAACAAAACAAAAAACATCACTGTGTTAGTCAGGGCCTGCCTTATAGGTTCAGTCCGTTATCATCAAGGCAGGAGCATGGCAGTGTCCAGGCAGGCTCTGATTGGTACAGTAGGAGTTGAGAATTCTACATCTTCATTTGAAGGCTACTAGGAGAAGACTGGCTTCCAGGCAGCTAGGATGAGGATCTTAAGGCCCACACCCACAGTGACACACCCACTCTAACAAGGCCACACCTCCTAATAGTACCACTTCCTGAGCCAAGCACATACAAACCATCACAGCCACATAATTGCATTTCTATAGATAAGTATAATCTTATAAAGTTACTAATTATATTACTAATATGTAATGAATGAAATCAAGTAGGGATTAGACTCTGAACTGATGTATATGTTTCAGGAGAGAGAAAAATTGGGGTGTTTAGTTTTTTGCTTAAACATGAAGAGTGTAATACAGTACTTGTTAAGGTTGGGGCTTAGGGTAAGAATGGCAGATTTGGAGCTGTAACCCTTGTGATGTCATCTGTTACATCAGGATATTTATTTTTTGCAATGGCATTTGTATAGTTTTGCTTTCAGTAGAGACCTGAAACTCGAGACTTGTTTGGTTAACAAATAGGGGAAGGATTTCCAGAGTTGTCTTTGGCATCCTCAGACCGCTTTTCATAAAGAGGCTCTCTTTAACCTTTCCTACTTTAAGAACCAGCAGCCAGATTGCACCAGGATGATGAAGGAGTCTGTTTAGTTGGTATAATGAGGTTTATTGACAGACTCTCCGTCACCTATTTATGACGTATTGCACGTGGTTGGATTCTAATGTGCTCTAGAGAGTGAAGTTTATGCAAAGGGAAGAGGCAGCCCTGGAAAGAAACACTCTCCTTCCCTCCATTATTCATGGTCTTGCTGTAGTCTGGGTTGTCTCCTTTGCCTGGATTCCTACAAATAAGTACTTCACTTTTTTTTTATGTTAATACTTCTTAGAGACTGAGAAATCTGTAATCATTATCACATATTATTGTTCTCTTTATATTTTGATGTTTAAAAAGCTGTTTTGTTTTGCCTAGAGGGTTTTTTCTCTGTTGCTTTGCTTCATTCAGTCTCCCAAGTGTAGGGATTAGAGGCATTCGGCACCAAGCCCAGTTTTCTTGCAGGGAGTCCTGTTTGCTCGGCAAACATTCTACTGAGCTAGAGTCCCCAGCCATGAGTTGTAGTCATTCTAGGTTTTAATACAGCTGTTAAAAAATTACATTGTTTAGCTTAAATTCAGAAGCGTGTCACTCTCCTGGTCTTAATGCAGGTAATGCTGATTGGAAAATAAAGTGTGGTTTTCCACTTTAATGTTTTGTGGAATCTGGATGAGTAAACTGTGACCTTTCAGTTGCAAAGGCTTTGAAGGCCTGTCAGTGTGGCTGAGGAGCCAGGCCAGCCTAGGAGCTTGTTGCTTTCCCTCACATGTAGTCAATAAAAATCTCATTTTAATAGGGTCCCTGGTGGTTCATATACACGTTAAAATTTGAGATATAGCTTATAAACAACCTAAAATGTGAGAAAAATAGCTTTTATTTATTTAGATTCCCCCCCCTTTTTTTTTCCTGAGGCAGGCTGTAGCCCAGGCTGGGCTGGAACTTGTTATGTGGTAGATGTTGGCCTTGAACTTTTGATTCTCCTGCTTCAACCTCCCAGGTGCTGGGATCATGGCTGTATACCTCCATACTTCCATGTCCAACTTGAGACACAGCTTTTAGGTGAATGAGAATCACCTCTGAATGAAGGCATTATTCAGAACAGCAGCTTGAGGTCTGAGTCAGAATCTCTGTAGGGAGGTCCCAAGGTGTGAAGTATGAAAGAGCCTGCTATTGGTACTGATTGCTTTTTTTCTTGGTCAGATACCACTGCTATGAAGAACTTTGGCATCTAACTTCGTTATACTCCACTGATAAAATTCCACAGGCATAGTGACACGTGCATTAAATCCCAGCCCTCAGGAGGCAGAAGCAGATGGGTCTCTGTGAAGCCACATTGAGCCCATGTCTCTAAAACAAACAAAAAAGATAATAATTGGCTGGGGGGGGGTGGCGCTGTAGGGATGGCTTAGTGCTTAAGAGTACTCACCACTCTCTGCACCCACTAATGGCTTGCAGCCATCCTAATTCCAGTTCTAGAGAATTTGACTCCCTGGCTTCCTCAGGCACCAAGCATGCACAGAGTGCACAGACACACATGCAGGCAAAACATTCATATATATGTATATGTATATGTATATGTATATGTATATGTATATGTATATGTATA